GAGGTTCCAGGTGAATGTGAGGAAGAACTTGTTGACTGTGAGGGTGCCCGAGCCCTGGCCCAGGCTGCCCAGTGGGGCTGTGGAGTCTCCTTCTCTGGAGATATTCAACCCCCGCCTGGACGCTGTCCTGTGCCCCCTGCTCTGGGTGAGCCTGCTTGAGCAGGGGGGTGGCACTGGGTGAGCTCCCGAGGGCCCTGCCAGCCCCTGCCATGCTAGGGTTCTGTGAATTGGGTTCCTGAGGGGAATGCTCTTTTATTAAGCATCTCTATCAGAGGTAATGGGGTAAAGGGAATGCATCAGAGGGAGACCTCTCATTACCCAGCTGGCTGGCATCCAACACAAGCCCACAATAACCACAACTGGCTTTCGAACACAGTAAAAAGATGCACAAAATGTTTGCTGTTGGACAAGCAGTAAGCAGAAGAGCTGTTCCACACCCAACTGATAGCGCTTGCCTGTCTTAACCTCACTGATGGGGTTAGAAGAGCTGATGCTCAAATTCATAATCACTGCCAAGTCACAACCATAAAGTAAAACAGAAAAATGATGGAGCAGAAGAGCGGAACCTCCCTGTCCTCATCCCTTGCACGTCCATGGGCCTCCAACAAGACAGGCTCCTGCCTGCCTTTCTCTAAATCTCCCTCGATGCTGAAGTTTGCACTTGCAGAGGAAATTCAACACGCAGGATTTACGGGATGGGTGGAGAGGCCTGGAGTAAGGAGCTCTAATCCATCGAGGACGTTCCCTTGCTAGAGCTCAGAGTGAAATTCTTCGAGTGCTGGAGACAGATTTTCCTTGGCGGGTGGCCACAAGTGTCGATCTGGCTTCTAAGAGAGATCAGCATGGCTGTGGATTGCAGCGACTTCACAGACAAACATAAAACCTTCCTCTTCAACTAACTTTCTTATAATAAACCCATGAAAATGAAAAGCTAAAACATTTCCAGCTGGCCAGAAGCTGTGGAGAGAACAGTGAACTTACTGCATGTGCAGGCTTGGGGCTGATTTGAAAGCTCCTGGAGATCTTCGGGGGTATTCGGACATTCAGTGGTATTTGGACAGAAGCGCTGAAGTTACTTTTGAGAGAAGGATGCTGAAGACTAAATTATTTAGGCACCTTTCATATTTTAGTGAGGTTATTTATGGAATTGAATTTATTTCCGAATTCTAGTACATAGCACTGAGTGTGTAAGAGCAAAGTTTAAACTTTAAGGGGAAAAAGTAACTACTGCTTCCTTGTAAAGCCTTAAATATTTGGGCATTGCTGTCAGACCCCTGTTGTAAAAGGGCTCTTCCAGAAGGATTTGAGATGCGACCTGATTTACTTTATCACTTCATTGAAGGTATTTGTGGATTTAGAATTGTCCCAGGATGGGGAGGAAAGTCCCTTTTTAAATTACTGTCTGCTCAGAACAGCAATTTTGATTCTCTGGGCTTGACTCCTTTCCTCTGTACCATACGGTGATGGAATTGCTCCCAATTTCCTCGAGCGCAACGGGAAAGTCAGGCTTTCAATGCACAGAGGGATCTTACACCTGAGTCCGCTGCAAGGAGCACGGACGAGCTCTGATCCTCCCCGACAATCACATCTTTATAGGCTTTAGTTTCCACTGCAAGGATCTGTATTCACGACACAAACCAAATCACTACATTCTTCTACCACTTTACGTTTTATTGCATGAAGAATGAATTTTGGTCATTCCCTTAAACTTAAGCATCCCATGCTATGAAAAATCTCTCTCATCTACAACTGCTCCATAACATCTAGTCCTGAAATATATTTTTATATATATATATATATATAAAATCTCCCTACCTACTTGGTGCATTTTTTGCCCAGTCATTTTTCCTCCCCACATGACCCAGCGAGGCTGCTTCTGCCTGCTAGTGCAAAGCCACACTAATTGACAGGACAGCTCCAAGGTAAGTATAAACCCACCTGAAATATAAACCTGAAATTACTTTTAACATTTTAAGAAGTCTGGTTGGATTTCAGGTTGGAAACACCCTTTCGCCAGCTACACCGGCAACATTCCTTCCCGGGCAAAGGAAAACAGCCAGAAACACAAACACTTTCAGGTGGTACCTTCATCCCCGTTCACAGCTTTAAGTCAATATTGTGTTAACATTTAGCGGCTTAAAAGAGAAAGAATGCCATGTCCAAAAAGAACAAATTAAAACCAAGCTGAAGGACAAATTAAAGACTTCTCTTTGCTGTACCTCCATCCATCCACCCTTCCAGCTATCCCCTGCTCCCAGGCCCTGCAGCTCAACCAGAAGCACAACGGTGGTGGGAGCGTTGGAGCTGTGATGGCCCCAGAGCAGCCCATGGAGCTTCACACAGATGGGAGCTTGGTGACACATAACATGTCATGGTATTAGGCCACTGACAGGATCAAGGGATCCGGGAACTATCTCATCTTTGCACGATACTGCTACCTCAATAAGCCAGCGATAGGTGGATTCTCCTCTACTTGGAGCAATGAGATGCTGTCCATTCTCTGTACAATACTTGGCATCAACAAGCATCCCTGTTATCCAGAAGATCTAGGACTGCCTGTCCTCACCTGAAACTCAACGGGCCACAGCATCTCCCCCTTCCTCGTCGCAACATTCAGAAACGCTATTATTTTTAAATGCACGCAAAAAAGCTGGGACGACCTTCCAAACCAAAGAAGAAAACGCTGCGTACAAAGACGACCAGTTGACAGAGGAGGATGAATTGTAGAGGGCTGCTGTTCAGCTTTCTCCTCACCCAAGCTGAATTCATTTGGCTGCGTTTTGCACTTATGAACCGTACAAACATTTCACTGCTAATGCACTGGCTCAGACCAGCTGAAGCTCACCGAGCATTTTTAAGGCATTTCAATCTTCAAACAGCCACAGCTTCCCTCTTCAAAATCCCCGCATTCAAGTCTTCGTGCCTGGAAAAGGACCAAAGCCTCCACATTTCCTTATACCCAGGAGGTTGTGAGCATGTTGCGTACTGCGGTCAATAAAGTGCCAAGAAGCTAATGAAGATAAAAGTGTCAACACGTAGTGGTGATAACACACACCTTTCCCGTGTAGTTATTTTTACCATTTTGCAAACAAATTTGGCAGGCGCTCGCAGGCCCAAGTCCGAAAAGCAAACAGGCGGCATCTCAACGTTATTAAACTTACTGCTGCTCCACAGAAGTGTCATGAGATGACAGATTGCTCCCTGCACATCAATTGGATTCAGAGAAGTTCTCAAACCCTTACGGGTTAAAAGCGGTTCCAGCATGAATCAGAGTCCCAGTGGTAAGGAGATCATCGATACAAGGGATTATGCAGATTTAAGAAATACCCTCAGCACCCGAAAGTTTTCAAAATGCAAACTACGTCAACCCTGAAAACAAGAGGCACTGCATCATGATGGCAGGAGGGACAAAGCCAGGGGGGTTTAACAGACAAAAAAAGATTGTTTTAATAGGAGAGAAGCATCAGTCATTGAGTCTTACTTCATTCAGACTTTCTATCCAACCCATCCATCTTCAGTGCCAAGAGATGACAGGACCACCTCACTTTTTCCCCCCAGCCTAGTATATCAATAATGCCCATTTCTACCCCAAACAAATGACTTGCTAGAATGGCCCTTTTCCGCAAATTGGCTTGCCAAGCCCCACAAATGCCTCAGTACCTGCTATGGTCAACTTGGCTCTAACGGGGCCCCCTCGAGAGGTGGGCACCGATGGGTGGAGCCTTCCCCAATCGTCTTCCCCAACAGCCACTTTGTCATTCATGGCCGGGGACCATCTGCGGAAGAGGGGTCCGGGGAGGGGGGAGCCGAGCCAAAGACGGACACAAACGGGCGCGCACACACTCAGACCCTCCCCACACAAGCCCAAATGCAAATTCCTTCGCCCTCGCGAAACGCCTCTGCGGGCATTATCTGTGAACAAAAGTCCTCGAGGCGGGCGGTCTCTGCATCACTGCTCTCTCTGTTAGCACCACCTGCTTGGCGTCAGCCGGGAGAGTCGCCGAGTTATCTTTTTGCCGCGTCTGCAGAAGCCAACGAGAGCACAATGGACCCCATCGGCCAGGGTCAGGCATGGCTTTCTTTCTCGCCCCCGTACCACCAGCCCTTTTCACCTCCACCATCTCCAGGACCCCGGAGCGCTCAATAAGGAGGTGGCTTCGAGCGCAGGGAGGAGGAGGCGGGGGGGAAATATAGGTCTCTGGCGTAAATCACCGACGCCGTTTCCCCTCCTCTCTTCTTTCCTTAAGACCTGATGGTCTTCAGTCACACATCTTAAAAGAAAAACAAAAAACAAAAACACAAAGACTTACTTGTCTCAAGTCGATGAAGGCCAACTGCAGCGTGTCCCCTTGGAACCCAGGCACTGGGCCGGATCTGGCAAACTCTGTGGGAAAGAAAAGAGGATAAAAAGCGCCTTTAACTAACCATGGACAGGGAGATTGGCAGACGGATGACAGGGAAGACAAGAGAGGCTGGGGGAGAGGAGGACCGCGCTTCTAAGGAGTCATGTCTCCCTCCCTTCAGTGTCTTTGTTCGCCCTTCAAAATTCGTGTCATCAAAACACCATTAATTCCACCGTCCTGACAGCAAGGAAACTGTACTAATTCGACCTGAAATTTATTCCCATGAGCCGTACTGGGCTTCAGAGTATTTGTTTTGTGAATGGACAAACAACTCGCCGAGAAGAAAGGGGGGGATGGGGGTGGAAAAGTTTTTCCTCTCAACACAATAAAATCTTCAGCTGTGAAACTCTTTTCAGTTCCGAAAGCTATTTATATTTTAGGGCACTGAAGGAATTTTCTAATTTCACGCCTGTCACCAGGCTCCATAAGCATTCATCAAAAAAATATGCCCAGCCGCATCATTAATTATTCGGCAGCAGATTATTTGCATTATCTGGTATGGCGCGCTAGTGCCAGCGTACAGTCACCCCAAATGGGAAGAATCGCGGCCATTATGCGGCATATTTATTTATGTCAGATGAAGACATCTGACAACTGAATAACATTGGCTTCTAAAGTGAAGAGAATATTTCCAAGGCCGCATTTACCTCCTCCCAGTGTAATCTGGCCAAAATCTCATACTTAAGTCATTTATTTTTCTCCTAATCCATTATTTAAACCAAGTCTAAAGCTACTGAGGGGGACTTGAACAAATCCATGTTAGAGGACCTCAGCTCTTCCATGCCATTCAACAGCTTTGACTTGGTAGCACTCACGAAGCCAACATCTGCACATATTCAAGTGCGCCTTTTGAAGATACGCCTGAGGTTGATTTTGCCCAACTTAATTGTCACCCTCTTTAGCTACAGGAGGAACAGCGTTATCTCCGCTCTCCATGAAACTTTTCATCACCGAGAGGACCCAATTTGTGAAGACACAACTCAACGTCACGAAAGACTCAAGAGGGAGCTTTTGCCTTCGGGTGAATTTTGGTGCTCCTGCAGATGCTGAAGATGCTGCACGCCGGAATGAAATGTTTTCTTGAGTGCAACCAAGCGCGATGGCAGAAAGGAAGAAGGGATGGAAGGCATACGCCAACCTACAGAATTTTAAGTTACGTATGGCCCATTATCAGCCAACTATTCTGGATTTTAACATACAAGAACCCTCAAAACAGCTCCTGCAGCTCCACAAAGCTGAGGACTAAGGATGGCTCAGCAATAAGGAAGGAGGACTTCGCCTTCTGTCTCCATGACTGAACAGAGGTACTACAGGACAAAGCCTGTCCTGTCCTTAAATGCTAAGCAGAGTCATTCCATGCCAGATGGTCTTCGCCTTGAATGCTTCTCCTTCCAAAAGTTATCTCATTTTCAAGTGAATGCCACAAAAGAAGGAAAACAAATCATCACAGTCCTTTTTTTAAGGACTTCCTATAGCAGCTCAGTCATATGAGCAGCCCCCATGGCTCTAATGAGAACAGACTAATGAATCAGATATCGGGATTCAGCCCCGTTCCTCAACTGCCTTATTTCTGGAAACCAGAGAGGGGTTATTTGTCAGCTTTCTTCCTCCATCTTCCATTAAAACCTTGGAATGGAGAACATCCTTCAATCCAGACACAGGTACCTCCAGGGGCAGAACGGACAGTTTTCAGACATCCATGTCTTTGCTTTTTAATATCTTCAGATGCCAGAAGAGCTCTCAGATTGAAATGATCACTCATCTTTACAGTGATCACTCAAGTGACAACTGCTGCAGGACAACAGCAAACACAGCCATAAAGCCATTACTTTCATCCAACGTTACTACTAGAAAGGAATAATAATTAAAAAAAAAAAAAAAAGAGTATGGACGTGACTGCCCACGTTTAGATTTTGGATAGGAAGGGCATAAATCAAAGCCAGAAGAAACCACGCGCCGTTGAGCCTATGGACTTGGCCACTTTTGCACAGGACAGGAGATAGGAGCTGCTCAGCTTCCAGCCAGTTTCACTGACCAATGCTGCAAAATTCAGGTTGCAAATAGGCCAAAGAGAGTTTATATTTAACCCTCAAAAACTCTTTTAATTAACTCTAACTGCAAAGGCATTTCAATGTACATTTGCTATAAAGTTTGCCTGTAGCTTGCCTGTGCCAGCACACACACGCGAGGGAGGACTAACACAAGCGTTCTGACTCTGATCTGCAAGGGATAAATCATCTTTACACATTCACTGTACACCCCACTGTCTCATCTGGAAAAATTATCCCCAAAAGCCACATCAATCCTAGAACACCCCCACTTTGGAAGAGCACATACCTGAGAAGCTAAAAACTCTGAGACGCAAGAAGCAGCCCCTTGAGGGATGAAGCCACCCTTGGTGGCTCGGTGCTGCAAGACGTCCTTGGGTTGAGGCACCCAACAAACTGGCTGAGCCACTACATCCTACCCTCTAAGGATGGGGTCACATCATGCTACTAATTATAATTGGAGATACACTGGAAAACAGAAACCCTGAAAGGACTGCAATTTTCTATTCTGGATTTAAGGGCTTCGCAGCTGCTCAGAGTCTATTTAGAAGCACACATGGAGTTGTGAAATTTCAGATCTTCCCGAAAGCGTGAGTTTCAAATCCTCATGCGAAAAACGGCTGCGACTGGGTCTTGAACGTTTTCACGAGACTCGTGAATTTATCACTACTGTCATCTGCTCATGAGCGCCCCAAGACAGATTTCATCCCAAGGCAAGGCTGCTCTTTAGCAGCTCACCTTTTGCTGGCTCTGACTAAGGAACCGTACGGGAGGAAGGCTGGGAGGGCGATGGAGTGACGCTGCCCTGGTAAGGGGCACGTTACAGCAACGGCAGCGCATTGAACCAACATTCGCTTGACCAGTAATCCCCATCCGAAGAACAGACTGGAGTCTCCCCTGCGTTAACAATGCACTTGACATTGGAGAAGTGAAATGGCGTAGGAGATCATATTATTGGTATTGCAGAAGAAATGAGAGCAAGAATACGGCCCAGACGCTAGAGGAAAGCGGCTGCAGCCCTTGGCTGTGAGGAGCCTGAAGAGGAATGAATGCCATGCTTCAGCCCACGGTTGTTATAAAAATAGCCGTACCTTCTGTAATCGTAGGTCACATTTTACATACCAATGCCACAAACTTATTTTGAAGGAGGAATGAACAAAGTCTTAAAGAAAAAAAGAAACAAAGAAGAGAACAGAGCTTTAGAGGAAAGACACAGCCAGTTCTTCTTGGTTTTAATCTCTTCAACCAGATTTCAGGATAATTTTCTCGGAACAACCAAGCACAGTGCTGGCCTCAGTACTGTCGGATTCGTTTATTGTACTGTCTCCACGACCAAGGCAAGTGGCAAACATAGCAAGCCACCTACAGTACAGCCCCTTGAGCAGAAAATCACAAGAGAATAGAGCAGATCAGTATGCGGCTGTTTGTACAAAGCATTTAGCCAGGCTAAAGGGTTGAGAGACTTGTGTTCAGGCCAAAAAAGTAATGTCTTTGCAAGGTCTACAGGCTTGGGCCACCCAGGGCAGGTCACAGGGGGACTCTAACCTCTCTTCCAAAACATTCCACCGATGAAAGAATCAAGGAACAGGAACCGTTAAGCCCTTTACAATGAACAAAGAATAAAGAGTTCAAACGCACACCAGAAAAGAGACATCCACTGTAAATTAATTATACAGACCGGGGGAATCTCTTTTTGTATACCGTAGACGGCTACGCACGCAGGGACAGAGCCTTACACGTATTGTGCGGTTCAAATAAACACAGCTGGTGACTTCATTCCCCAAAACATCATTTTGAGGGTAAGATTTTCTCTAAATTACACAACACGGCCAGAATTCACGAAGGCAGACCTGTGGGACTGAGGTTGCAGCAGCTCCTGGTGAGGGAAATCTGGACAATCCACTGGCGGTTGCGTCACTCATGAACAAGATTTTGTATTTGGGGAAACAACCACCTCAGTATTCCTCAATGATGAATGTGGATCTCAAAGCCACCTTCCTTAGACAAAGCCTTGGAAGACTATCTGAGAAAAGCCAAATGACAGGACCTCTTGCACCTTCCCCTGAGGCACAAAACGATACCATGAGGATACTGAAGCTGAAGAACAAATCTCTGCGTGGACTCTGGAGAAGCTCGCAAGGGAGAGACGTGAGAAATGATGGGCAGGAATTGAGGCAAGAGGAACAGAGAGAAGATCTCCATTTCCATATTGAGCTTACACTTCACCCACACCATTCCCACACAGCCCTGCTTTGAAGCTGTTCCCCATTATACGCCAATTCATCAAAGCTCATCCCCATCTGGGGAATTCCAGAGAGCTGTGGGGAGAGGGAGGAGTTATCCAAAACACACTGAACTGGGTCAGATTTAATAAAAATGTCTACCCCTCTCCGTCATTTGTTCCTCTGATGGAACAAAGATGAGCCTGGAGTCCTGTTATTGCATAGAAACGAGTGGTCCCAGGGGCCGTGATGGTCTGCTGACAGGGCTGAGGAGCATCCACAGCCCCACTGAGGAACTCCTCACTGCTGGACCACTGGACATTTTCAAGTAGAAGAAAAGGAAGCTCTTCAGAAGAAACTGTATGAGATACGTGCCAAGAAATTTGGTCCCTGCCGATGTGTAGGACAGGTCTACAGAATCGAGTTACGCACTTATACAGGTTCCCAAACTCATAACCCAAGGTGTACAATGGATGTCTCTTAGCAGATGCGAGATTCTCAGCTCCATTAAAATACTAATACTAGGAGAAGTGGGAGGTACACATCTCACCATTAGCTCGTTGGAGCTGCAAAGGTTGACAAGCATCAATAGTGAGTGTCCATGATGGGTGGGGAAGGGAAGGTGAGCACAGAGATGAGGAACTGTGAGCTCTTTAAATTGCTTAAATAAAATTAGGTGTGGACAGAGGCATCTTCTCCTCCGAGAGTTGC